AATAATTTGAATAATAAAAATTATAAAAAATACCCCTATAAAGTTTTAGGGGTAATTTTATCATTTTATTTTTTACTATTATTTTTTTAATATTTTATTTTTGTGCGACTTGGTCATATGTACATGCCCCAAATTTTAGATAAATCTGATTAGCACAATAATTTTAAAAATTCAAATACTATCAGACAACTGCGATGATGTGATGAGCTTTGGACAGTGATGAGGTGTAGGTGAAGTACGGTAGAACTTCATTATAGGCGTTTTGTAGATGCTTTTATAGAAAACACTACAAAATGTCTATAGGTGAAGTTCTACAGTACTTCACCTATAGCTTTATCACCGTTCAAAGTTTATCACACGGTCACATATGTCTGGTAAGATTTTAATTTTAATATTTCTTTTACAAATCATATCACATGAATAAAATATAAAACAAATAATTTGAATGATAAAAATTGTGAAAAATATCTCTATAAAGTTTCAGGGGTAATTTTATCATTTTATTTTCTGACTATTATTTTTTTAATATTTTATTTTGGAGCTACTTGGTCATATGTACATACACCCCAAATTTTAGATAAATATGATTAATATAACAATTATAAAAATTCAAATACTATTGAACAATTGTGACCGTGTGATAAATTTTGGACGGTGATGAGGCGCAGGTGAAGTACTGTAGAATTTCACCTATAGGAGTTTTGTAGATACTTGCTCTATATATATATATATATATATATATACATATATATACACACACACACACTATTTATTTTAAGAAAAAAATTAGCTCGTATACCTATAAAGTACCATTAGATTTTTCTTTCTATAAAGTATATTTTAGTATCGGGTGCGGTTTCTATAAAGCCTAGACCTTATGAAAAAAAGTAAAACTTCACCTTAAAACCTAGTATTAGAAACACTTCGGGCATGAAAAATTATGCCACCACTACTGTTATGGTCCTAAGTGGTTTAAGGCCCTAACTTTCCATGTTTCCATCACCCAAGGGTTTTTGGTGCATATTTGGTTAGGTACTGGTAGCCGGGTTCAAAGCCACTGAACAAAAAAAATGGAGAAAATGTTGACTTTGGAGATCTAAAATCAAGAATTATAGAAATACCTTCAGACATTAAAGGTTCAAAATCCGTTCTATAAGATTTGACTTTAGATTACGAGCATTTAAAAGTCGTAATAAAATACTTGACTTCCGACCTTTATGATCCAAAGTTTAAAAATTTCACTTGGGATTTTCATCGTCTAAAGTAATAACAAAAAAGTAGAAATAAACTTAAAACTCAAAATCATGAACGTATGTAATCACAATAACAAAACTATGGTACTTCATCGTAAAATGGTTTTTAGCCTGAAGTGGGGTTATTTTACAACAATACTAAAAAAGAGAAAAAGTTATGAATGATTGATGAGAAAAAGATTGATGAGAGTTTTTATAAAGAAAAAGGGGAATTCTATAAAAGTTGTCAACCTTTGTACGTATAAGTTGCACCTCAAAAACCCACTGAAAGAAATTGTTTTGATACGAAAAATCCCCAAATTGATCTCGAGATGTATGAATATAGAGATAAAAAAAAAAAAGATTTAAAGTCCAAAAAGTAGTGCATCTTGTGATGTATTATCTGGACTGCCCATTTTTTTAAGTTTTTATTATTTATAGATCTACTCAATTTGCACTAATATTAGAACTTTAAATTTTATAATAGGGCTATTCATTGTAAGACTTTTTGGCACCAAAACTGCATCTTTCAGCATAGGTTTGAGGTGCACCTTGCTCTGATCGTTTAAGATTGTTGCGTTATACAAACCTCACATTTTATTTATGGGTGAGATTTGTAAACGGTGCCTACCTTATACTACACAAATAAACCGTACATTTTTCTAAAAGATGTAGTTTTAGTGTAAAAAACCTTATAATGATTTGAAAATTCATGTTCAACACTAATTATAAAATTTTAAATTATAAAAGTAGCGTAAATCACGCATATCTATAAATAATTAGAAATGTTGAAAATAAATGATCAAGATAACTTGTTATAAGATGTATTATTTTTAAGACAATTTTTTTTTTAATATATCTATGAATTTTGAAGCCGAGATATTCAATTAGAAAATTTTTAAAGTACTCTTCTACTGCTCTCTTCTATTTAATTTTTTAGGTGCACTTATAGAAGTGTTTCCTTGTTATAATGAATATTAGGGGTACATGAGCGTAAATTTCGTTTATCCCGGGGCTGGTATGGAACCATGGATTGGGGACGTAAATTTCCTTATCAAAGGAGAATGGTTTGATAGGGTTATCAAAATCACTAACTGAAATTGCAATTCAAGCATTATAAAATCTTTAAATTACTGTAGTTTGAATATTATGATTATATAAAAAAAATAAAGATTTTAAGCTCTAAAAATAATGTATATTGTAATAAATTATCGAGACCTTTTAGTTTCCCTTAAAAATAGGGTGCAGTTTGTATAGAGCCGAGGCTCTAAACAAACAAAGTAAAGCGAACCTTCAAATAATGTTGAGAAATGTGGTTTCAATATTGAAAATCTTTGTTTTAGTTGTAAAATATATTTTCATCTTTAATTATAAGATTAAAAGCATTAAAAATAGTTTAGATCAATTAGATCCAGTGGTTTAAAAAAAGGATCGGTGACCCGAATCGGACATCCCAAAAACCGATATGGATCGGCAAATCGGCGATCCGGATTGGGAATCAAGACGAATCGCTCAGATTAAGCCTTAAGAAAATTCAAAAAAATTATTAAAATTCATTATAAATGTTTTTTTTAGGAATCCAATAAGAAATGGGGGTACTACATTATTAACTTTCATTGTTTTCATCAATTTATGAATATTGAGATGTTCGTTCTATGTTATGAATTTATGTTGACCATTAAATTTACAGCACACAAAAGAAATCATAGAATTCTCATGGATTAAATATATAATCATATATGAACTACAATAAAGAGTTGACTAAATTGATGAAAAATTAGCCACTAAAATCTCAAATTGGCGGAAAACCCTAATCCGCTAAAAAAACCCAAATTATTATAACCTAACTTACTATAATATTATATATTAACAATATTTTATAAATATTTTATTATATAAATAATAACAAATCCAAAATATTTTATAATATCATCTAA